AAAATAAGTAGTAAAGTAAAGTAAAAATATCAGAAAAATCTACTTGAGTACAGTAACGAAGTATTTGTACTTCGTTACTTCCCATCTCTGAAGAGTATAACCAGGAAGCGAAGTAGGAGGGCAAAAAAGGTTTAGCGCCACCGCAGCACGGGAGGGAGAATTACGTCCAGGAGCAAATGGATAAAAATAAATAAAATAAAATAAATAAAAAAAAACATGAATCGATTCTCTTGCGGACGTGACAACGCATCGGATCGTCGGCTGTTGGATCGATGCATCGATACAAAACGATTATTATTTACACCCCTAGTACAGGTACAAGGCAACGAAATGCAGTTTAGGTCTAACCAGAAGTGCAATAGCAGCAGGTGCAGAATAAATAATGGTTCCATAAATACAGGACATGGGTTTCTATTGAATAAGTAAAGAGATGAATACTGTTATAAATAATGAGTATAATATATAGATCACTAGTGCCATGAACTAAATTTACAGCTGGATATGTACCGAATAGGTGGATATTACTATAAAATTAATAAATAAAGTTTGGACAGAAGTTTGGCAAAGAAAACTTGTCGTCATATAAATTTGTTTTATCAGACATCGTTATTCATCATAAAGTTCTGGTTTCAGGTGATGACGACAAACTCTATTTGGACAGGAAACGAATCGAACAAATGTTGTAGTATATATATGCGTGTTTTTTCACTCCAGGAGTTCTCAGATACAGACATCAGGGATGATGATGATGATGATTATGAGGAGGAGGAGGTGGAGCTGTGTGACAGCCCATTGGAACATCTCCAAGTAAGATTCCCCCTGAGCAGTGGTTGCATTGGCATCAGAGGATGATGCGTCGTCTTCTCAGAAATGAGCCCGCCTTTCACCGCATCCCTGGGCCGTGATGGTGTGACTGCATTGGGAATGTTGGGTGCATGACCCGGCTTCTGATAAAGTCCTGTCTCAGTGCTCGTCATCGCCCGCCTTACCGTGCATGGATGATGTATGAAATGAACGCCAGGGGGAGTTTAAAGGCTCCTTCATGGTGGAGAGAGGAGCTGGGAAGTTTAGCTGGCAGCAGCTTTAAGGAGGAAAGAGAAAAACAAAACAAGGTTTAAAGTCCAGATCTGCATCATTGTTTTAGATTTTCACCCTTTCCATGGATGTCTGCTGCTGCCTCTCAGTGGCTGCTCAGCAGAAACGTCAGGTTTGTGCCATGAATGTGGTGTTTTGCAGGAGTTTAATGCAACGTTCGAGGGGATGAATGGCTTGTAATGTGCAGGATGCTCAGGAAGGGCAGTGAATCAGTCCGGATGTGATTAGTCAGCGTGAATCTTCCGGCTGCCTGTGTGTGCTCTCTGCTCCCATCTCTCTCTCAGCTATTTTAGCAAACTGACCCACATTTTCTCTTCTTTCGTCTTCCTCTCCTTCCTGGTTAAACAGCTTCAGAACGGTTCCGGAACGCCGTACGGACACACTTCATCCTCCTCTGTACTCAGAGCAGGAGCCGCCGTCTCCTCTGACCATGCCGGAGACATCCTCATAGCGAGCGCAGCTGTCCGACCTGAGCCCACCCCCCGCCACCCTGACCCCTCGGACCACCAGATCAACCAAAAATTGGACCAGGAGGAAGACCAGACGGACCTAAAAGCGGGGAAGCGGAGGTTGCCTTCCCCTGAAACGGCGGTCAGGCAGGCTGCTCTGCCTCAGCCCCGTTCTGGGAGGGAGAGACGGTGGGAGGAGGAAGAGAAGGAGGAGGAGGAGCCACGCTGGCTTTCCAGGGGTGGGGATGATACAGCTGTTCAGAGCCAGAAGTTCTGGGAGACGGAGGAGCAGAGGAGGAATCACAGGGAGGAGGGACGACCGTCAGACAGGATCAGATCCATCAGTGGAGGTAAGACCTGCAAAGAACCAGCGTCCCCAGACTCTGCATGGTTCTGTAGCCTTATGACCTCTGAATGCAGAGAATTTCAAAGTTATATGAAGAAAACAGCAGGTCACACCTGGAATAAATGTTACATTTTACAATATTAGTTTCTTTTACCAGTTTCTTTTACCAGTTTGTACCAGTTTCCTTTTTTCTGTGCAAAAAAAAAAATGGCCTTAAAGATAAAATGTAGAAATGTGTTAAAAATATTTAAACTCAGCTGGACTAAGGTGGGAAACATGGAGAAAAATATACCTACTGAATAAATGAATGCTGCTAGAATAATAATACCAATATAAAGATGTTTTGATTCTAACTGGCTCTGCTGGGATGTTTAAACACAAATTCTGTGTAAAACTGTTGTCTTGGTTTTATTTTACATTTTCAGTATTCTTATGTGTTATATTTACTGTATAACAGATATGCAGTTATTTCTGTTCATCTTTAGTCATAAGGGATAAGAATTTACTGAATGGAAACCATTGTTTAGCTCCTATCTACGGAAGAGGATTAGGGCCACTGAACAACAAAAAAAAGTGAACAGATTTTTTAATTTTATTTCAGTTTAATATGGGGGGAAAAAAGTCAGAATTCTGACTTTAATCTCAGAATTCTGACTTTAATCTCAGAATTCTGACTTT